TTTACATTATTTCTTTGTTTATTTTTTTCCCTTCGCGGTGAGTTTGCTTAAAGATCTGATTTTGTTCGTATAGGACAATGGTCTCGCAGTTAGTGAAGCATGAGCGTATCGAAACAACTGTTGCTAAGGTATCTTTGTATTGGATTGTTCTACCATGATTTCTTTGTGTCTATTTAGGTTTTGAAAGTGTAGGGCTTTACTGGGGTTTTGCTCCTTTGATCAGAGTGGTCTAAGAATCTCTCATTTGGAGTGGCTAAATTGATATCAGTGGCAATTTATCGATAAAACGAAATGTTGTCGTGCAAGATAACGATACTGTGGGTCTAAGTTACTGAAAAAAACCGTCGATTGCAAAATGTATTACTTTTCTGCTCCAGATGTCAGCTTTACATATGATTGTCCACAAACGAGTTTCGAAATGTTGTCGTGCAAGATAACGATACTGTGGGTCTAAGTTACTGAAAAAAAGGTCGATTGCAAAATGTATTACTTTTCTGCTCCAGATGTCAGCTTTACATATGATTTGTGCCACAAACGAGTGAAACTCGTTATACATAAGCACTGAATGACTGAACTTTAGTTCTCTATAGTGAATATCCTCTACTTGATAGACCAGAGTAAATAAATAAGCTGTCTGATGTTTAAGCAATAATTTCTTATTAGTATGGCATGCTAAACAGCCTGTGCAGGACCTTTTTTAAAGTATATTTAAATGTTAATGCATTTTATTTTTCTTCCCCTTTCCTATTTTTTTATTTTTTTATTTTAAATTTTGTAGGCAAAGGAAGTTCGTAGGCTTGCTGATAATATGGTACAGCTTGGGAAAGAGGTACTAGTTTATTATCTTTGATATGTATATACTTCTTTGAATGTATTGTTTTAAAATTAAGGCTTGATCTTGAACAAATTCTGCGTTATTCATATGCCTTCAATAAATTAGACTGTCAACTGCTAAAGTCTGGTTGAGCCGGCAATAATTGAATCAGTGCCAGATGATGTAGTTTTTGGATTGGTTATGGCATGCTTCCAAGGTTTATAAAATATGCTCAACTCGGCTGTGGAATTTGTACTTTCATGTTGGGTTTGTGTCACTGGTTTGTCCTGTTATCAGCCATTTCATTCTTATTTCTTAACTTGTATCTCAAGAAACAAAATATCTTTTCTCAGTTGCCACTATGACACTGTAGTTTTGGGATATATCTGCTATGAATATGAATGTAAAATAATTGTACATCTGGTGCGAGAGCCTAGATTGTTGTTAGACAGTTGGAAATTGTTGCATTAATTTAAAATACATGAGAACATGGAATTTTGATTGCCCAAGTGTTTATATTACTGCTTTAGTGAGGCTCCAACAAGTAAAACATCTTCATTGTTCAGAGCTCATATGTTGGCTAATTTGGCATATGGACTTGTAACCTTTTGAAGGTTGACTAAACAAATTTCAGACATCTCCCATCTAAAAAGAACTCTTGTTGCTAATTTACAATTTTTGAAACGATAGGTAAAAGCCAGTCAATATACAAGATAAACTAAAGAGGATTGCAGTACAACTGCACATTGCGTCTTCGGTTGAGTTCAAAACCTCATATTTTTATTTTTCATGGAGAAGCATCCAGTATGACCCGCTGCTAAGTACCTTATATATATATATATAACCCTAAAAATATTGTGCTCTGTACAATCAGAGACATCATATTTGCTCGTGAAGTGGAGCCGTAAGATCTTTTCTTCATGAAACTTGTTTGAGAAGCAAAGTTTCATCTTACATCATATATTTTATGATTTTTCGCATTTCTGTAAGTTGATGTATAAGAAGTCTTAGAAAGGACGGAACCATGCTACAATGCAGCGGGCCAAAGTTTCGTCGTCTACTGCTGCTATTTTCTACACCATAAATTTCTGATTGCTTTTGAAGCAAACAATTAAATTGTTGACAATTGTTGGAAGAGTCATTGTTGACAATTCTCCTGGCATAGTGCTAATAATGGACTAGATCAAAATGGCTCAATTAAATTCTAGTGCTTCTTCTATTAGTGAAGTTTCTAGAAAAAAATATATCAAACGACGCAATGCACCTTGGGTCGCTATGGAAACAGCCTCCTTGTATAATTACAAGGGTAAGGTCTGCGTACACTGACCCCCCAGACCCCAACTTGTTGGGAATATACTGGGTATGTGATAGAGTGAAGGGCAATATTAACAATAGATAATGAACGTACTACCCCGAAGGGTCCTCAGGCAAGATAGCCTGCCACAAACGTCAATATTCCAGAATACCCATCTAACTCTTACCCACCAATATATATACTAAACCCTAATATTTAATAATTAAACCCTAAAGCCCATTTAAGAGCCCACTAACTTAACTAGTTACATTAACTAAATAATAAGGATAATTGGGCCTACGCTCTAGGGTCCAATAGGAGCAGCCGCAGCCCGTTTCAGCCTTCTAGAATAAACTTTCATAAATTGGTCTTTATCAACTCCTGCCCGGACGGAAACAGCCTTGTCCTCAAGGCTGAAATTAGGGAATTGGCCACGTACTTCCTCAGTGTCCAGCCAAACTACCTCATCATCCCCGTGATCCACCCATTTTATTAGAACCTGTGGAACCATTTCCCCATTGCGCTCTATCTCTCGTCGCGCCAGCACTTTCTCCGGAATAAATAATGGGTCATCTCCCAACAATTCATCAGGGAATGTAGGCTCAACGGAATTCACTCCCATTGAAGCTTTTAACAGCGAAACATGAAAGACTGGATGCACCCTTGCGGTACCAGGCAATTTCAATCGATAAGCAACTGCTCCAATACGAGCCTCTACCTCAAATGGCCCAAAAAATCGAGGTGCTAACTTAGTGTTCATGCTGCGGAAAAGTGTTCGCTGTCGAAAAGGACGAAATTTGACAAACACTTTATCACCTACTGCAAACTCCACATCTCTACGATGTTTATTCGCTTCCCGAATCATGCGTTGTTGAGCACGTTCCAGGTGGAAACGCGAATGGCGCAAGACCTCATCCCTGTCCCGAAGATCCTCTACTAATGATTGTGTCCTCACTTCTCCAGGTATAAAACGATGTAGCCTAGGAGGTGCACGACCATAAACTACCTCAAATGGAGTACCGCCCACACTTGATTGAAAACTGGTATTGTAGTAGTACTCTGCCCAAGCCAACCACTTACTCCACTCTCGTGGCCTTTCGGAACTAAAACAACGCAAATATGTCTCAAGGCAACGATTTAGTACCTCTGTTTGTCCGTCCGTCTCAGGATGATATGCCGAACTCATTCTCAACTTAGTGCCTGCCAACTTAAATAACTCCTGCCAGAACGAACTTAGGAACACTGGATCTCTATCTGATACAATTGATGTTGGGATACCGTGCAATCGCACCACCTCTCGACAGAACAAATTTGCTACCGATCGGGCGGTGTAAGGGTGTCTCAATCCCAGAAATGACCATATTTTGAATATCTATCAACCACCACCAGGATACAGTCAAGATTGCCCGAACGGGGAAGGCCCGAAATAAAGTCCAAGCTAATTTCCTCCCAAACTCGATTTGGAATTGGTAAGGGTTGTAGCAAGCCTGCAGGTGCCTTGGTGTCGTACTTGTTTCTTTGACAGATGTCACAACGCCTTACAAAATCCGTCACATGGCGCATTATTCCTGGCCAATACACGTTTGTTGCTAAGCGCCGATAAGTGCGAAATGCCCCAGAGTGACCCCCTGTTGGTGTGGAATGGAATTCTGAAATTAATTTGGTGGTTCACTCGGATCTATTAGGAACTACCAAGCGGCCTTTATAGAAAAGATTCCCATGAACAAGGGAGTAATGCGGCGGTGCGGACGTGCTAGATTCCAAAGCCGACACAATTTTGGATAACTTTGGATCAGACTCAATAGCCGATTTTAGTTGACTCCAGTCCATCCATGTGGGCATACTAATGGCTGTTAATTCCACCTCCTCATCCCTACGTGATAGGGCGTCGGCAGCTTGATTCGAAGTTCCGGAACGATAAACTATTTCGAAATCAAAGCCTAGCAATTTGGCAACCCAATTTTGTTGGGCAGGAGTAGTCAACTGTTGCTGTAATAGATGTTTCAGGCTGCGCTGATCTGTACGAATTAGAAAGCGTCGCCCCATGAGATAGGGACGCCAGTGTTGTACAGCCATCACCAATGCCATCAACTCCTTCTCGTAAGCGGATTTAGCTAAGGCGCGGTCTGAAATACCCTTGCTAAAATAAGCCACCGGACGACCTTGTTGCATCAAAACCGCACCAAGCCCTCGTCCAGATGCATCACACTCAACGACAAACGGCAATGAAAAATCAGGCATAGCTAAAACCGGAGCAAAAGTTAGGGCTTGCTTGAGTTCTTGGAAAGCCTGTTCAGCCTCAAAGGGCCAAACCCACTCCCGAGATGTCGTTTTTTTCAATCGAGACGTGAGAGGAGAGGCAATCTTGCCATAACTACGAATAAATCGGCGATAGTAACCTGTGAGGCCAAGAAAACCACGCAAGCTACGAAGAGAAGCAGGACGCGGCCATTGGAGCACTGCAGCGATTTTTGTTGGGTCCATCTGCACCCCATCAGATGAAACCACATGGCCGAGATACTCGACAGATTTCCTTCCAAACAAACACTTCTTCGGATTTATTGAAAATAAATGTTCCCGAAGGAGGCCCAATACCTGTCTGAGATGGCACAAATGCTCCTGCCACGTCTTGCTATACACCAGGATGTCGTCAAAAAAGACTAACACAAAGTGACGGAGATAAGGCCTGAAAATATCATTCATGATGGCCTGAAAGGTGGCGGGAGCATTAGTCAACCCAAAAGGCATTACTAAGAACTCGTAATGACCTGAATGTGTACGAAATGCTGTTTTAGAAATGTCCGCTTCAGCAACCCGTATCTGATGGTAACCAGCACGGAGATCGAGCTTGCTAAACCACTTTGCCCCATGCAGCTCGTCTAATAATTCCTGGATGATAGGGATAGGATATTTATCCGGAACCGTATGCTTGTTCAACTCGCGGTAGTCCACACAAAACCTCCAACTACTATCTTTTTTGCGAACCAACAGAACAGGGCTTGAGTATGGGCTGCAACTTGGACGTATCAACCCAGCTTCCAACATATCTGCCACTAGTCGTTCCATTTCATCTTTTTGGAAATGATTGTAGCGGTATGGTCTCACTGAAATGGGTTCGGTACCAGGTTGTAAGTTAATATGATGGTCAATGTGTCGCTTAGGAGGTAGTCCAGAAAATGGTGTTAAGATCTCCGAGAATTCTGCTAAAAGGGGCGAGAGTGCATCCCGAGTTGGTGAATGAGGCTCGATTGACACAGGACAATGTGGTGGAGATTCCGAATGATCCATCGACCATAAAAGCCATGTTTGCTCACCGTCAGAAAATTCACGAATTGCTGTAGCCACAGAAACAGCTTGGCGGGTGAACGAGGGATCCCCTCTCAGAAGAACCGTACGACCATCTTTAACTAATTCCATTGTCAAATTTTTCCAATTTGCTTTCACATCTCCTAACGAAGCCAGCCAAGAGACACCCAATATTATATCCACCCCCCCCAACGGAAAAACAAAGCAATCAACCATAAATGTAGCCGTCTGCAAATAAAGAGGAAGGGCGCGGCACAATCCCTGTGCAGAAATGCGTTGACCATTGCCGAGCATCACAGAATACGTCGGTGAAGGCTCCACATGTAATCCCAATTTATCCACAGCCCTTTCTGAGATAAAACAATGACTCGCGCCACTATCCACCATAGTCAGGAGCTTGAAATTCTCAAGTCTGCTTATCAACTTCATCGTATGGGGACCATCAAAACCCTTGGCTGCAAGGTGTGAAAGTTGTAAGTTATGGAGAAGTGGGGGTTCAGTTGTCAGAGGGTCTGGGACCTCTTCTACCAATTCGGAGACAATGGGTATCTCCGACTCTGAAGGTTGTGAAACGTCCATCTCCTCACCCGCGAGCATCACGTTTAGGGAACGAGCTGGGCAAACGTGTGTCGGGCCATAGGGTTGGCTGCACCGAAAACATAGACCTTGTTGCCGATGGGACTGGTACTCGGAAGGTGTGAGTTGACGCACTCTACGGAACTTCTGAGATGTGATAGTGGATCCTGTATTTGAGGTTGACCCCTTTTGGCTGGCTCCAGAACTCAGGGTGGGAGTCGAGCGAGCTTGAGGCTGTTGGATTTGTGAGCTATGCTGGAGAGGTGACGAGAACCGTGGAGCCTGTAATGGGCGGCTAGAACTTGAGAAGGGAGAGTATGATGAACGAGGTTGTCCCTTACCTGATGGGAAGTTTGCGAAATTCAATTCACGTTCCACTTGACGAGCCAATCGAATTGCAGCATACACATTCATGGAAGGGTCATCACGTATGCGGATTCGGATATCCTCGCGTAAACCACCCAAAAACTGACCCAAATAATGAGGGTCAGATAAATCAGTTACCTGAGCAACACAAGCTTCAAATTCAGCAATATACTCATCGACAGAGCCGGTTTGCAGCGTGACCTTCAAAGCCTCATATGCATTCACAGTCGTCAGAGTGCTGAAGCGAAACAATAGTTCTTCAATGAACTGGGGCCAAGCGATAGTAGGAAAATGGCGCATTAAACCTTGAACCCAATACAATGCATCCCCAGACATGGCGACGAGCGCAATTGGAACCTTTTCCGCTACTGGAGTGTGGTGAACCAAAAAAAATTGCTCAGCCCTGGCTATCCAAGCAGTTGGGTCAGATCCATCAAATGAGGGGAGGTCAATTTTTGGTGTCCCAGACAACGTAGTGGTATGGTTCGTGGTCTGGGATGTGTCCGTCTCGTGGGAGGTCCTAGAGTCGGATGATTGCTCCTTCTCCTTCATGATGGCAGCGAACATAGTCTCGATAGTAGAAAATTTTGTACATACCTCGTCAAGGCCCTTCTCCATCATCTCCAAACGGTGTTCCATCCTCTCGAACCGGGTGTCCATCCTTGTCTGCATACAAGGCTTGGCAGGTCGG